CTTGCTTTCTCTTTGTTCGTGGTGCTAGTGCCTTCAACCTTTTTCCCTTTTTTGGGTCCTCCGAACTTTTCTCGTCCTTCCCTCCGGCCTTTATGGATTCTATACGTTCCTCATAATCCTGTTTGGCTTTTTTTCGTGGTCCAGCAATAAAATTGACATCAACTATATCCGGGAGTTCATCGTGTTTTATTCTATTCAAAAAACACGTCATATTAAATTAAATTAGTTTGTGTATTAATTTAGTTGTTACATACTTGATACATACGCGTCACTTTTGCGTTTACCTCCATTTATTAATTGTTTAACTTTATGTTTCATTTTGAATTCGTTCGGTTTGAAAAAATCTGTTGGAGTCAAAAGCTGTTTTATTTAAAAAACCATTCCCAATTATATATCATTAATACGTAAAATACGTGAAACAACAAACAAAAGAGACGGAAAAATCTATTCGTACTTGTGTTGTTGCCAAGCTTGAAATCTTTTTATCTTTTGTAATCTCCCTATATATCTTTCATTTTTCTTCATTGTCACATTCCTTATCATTTTCACTATCAGCTTTATCGCCTTCAACATCTTCAATTTCATCATCTCTATCGCCATCATTTTCATTTTCATCATCGTCTTTATCCTCTTTATCATCATCATTTTCATCATCTGAAACATCATTCCAATCTTCGTTTGATGAAGCATTTGAAGCTACTTCCCATCCTACCCATTCTTTGTAATATAGTATAGATATATATATTGAATATAAAGTTGATGCAAGCTTTAAGAACATAATTATAATTATATACTGCCATCTTCCTCAGCTCCTGTCAACCCTCCTGCATTTGTTGTTTCTTATATTCTTCTAATAATTCTATACCTTCAATTTGTTCAGTCGTATGTATTTTACCATACTGTAATGGTTTGAAATCTTTCATATCATACTAGCAATTTTACCCTATAAAGTTCAGAATTGTAAATTTATCGATTAGCATGTATCATAAATAAATTACGAAATAATAGAAATATACACGTCTTTTCTTTTCAACATTTCCGGATTAATTTCCCGAAATAATCCAATTAATGATTTAGCTGCCATAATGACCCCCTTATCCCTATCTGATTTA